ATAACCCTTCCCTGTCCATCTTGCATATTGCTTTATTTATTTTCTCATAAAACATTGTTTTCTTCTCATTTTCCTGACTTCATGTCTATTGTTCTTTAATTACAAGCTTGCAGAATATCATACCTTTGCCTGGCTGCCTATGATGAAAGTGAGAATATCCAAAGTAGCAGGTTAGCCATTCTCAACTAACTTTGCAGCAACTATAGGGAAAATCTGGATGCACAAAACTATATCCAGCATTAAACCCAATGCTGTTGCAATTCCCTCAAACAGTAAAACCATCAGCTAGGCAGTCTGAAATGGAAAACCTCCTACTGTGATTTAGATGCTGTGCATTCTATTCAATATGAAGTCATTCCACAAACAGAACAAGTTCAAACTGTAGCTAATTAATGTGTCACATTGTTTATGTCAAGGAGGAGAAATGATCCAGAATGCAAACCACTGTAATTGCAGAGTAATCAAAATGAGGTCAGCAGGTCCTAAAAACTGTAAAGTATCAGATTTAAGTTCTGTGGTATACTGCAAAAACATTACTTAGGGATTCTACAATCTTCCTCAGTGAATGCATTGACAAAAATCCCTGTGTGAACATTAGTGTTGTAAAGCTTTTGCAAAATTACAAGAATTTATTTTGCTGCCTACTTCTCAATATAGGCTTGCGCATTCTTTACAATACATTCACCTTCTTCAAACAAATAGGACATTGTTTTATCTCAGAGCAGAAGGTAAAGAATTCACCTAAGATACCTCTATTGTCAAAAGTTGCACCCTATAAGTTGCAGGGCGGCCTCCTTTAAGCTGTAATTAAAATTTCCTTCCAGTCTACTCCCTATACCTTTTGATGCTGATATTCGAACACTCTTAGGACAGAGGTTCATATCCCATCACAACAGCCGTTTGAATTTAAATTCAACTCATAAATATGAAATGAAATGTTCATCTCAGACATAGTGGCAATGAAACTACCATTGACTGTTGTAAAGAAACCCATCCGGTTCACCACTGTGAAACCCACATCACTTCTTTTGGTGAAGGCCCACTGGATTAACAGCCACTCAGGTACATAACGCGACAGCAATGGACGTCCCTCAGGATCAAGAAATCCTGAGGGAGCAGAAGTTCGGCCTGCCAAAAATCTGACAGCCAACCAGAGCTACTGGACAGCAGCACAAGTGGATGGGGTAGTGACTGTTGTCAGATAATGTTGGCCTCATGTCATGACAGAATCTGGGTTACAGCTGATTGATGGCAGGAGGGAGGTCGCAGGGAGAGGTTCTCCATCCACCAGTTTCCCACTTGATTAAACACCGAATCCACCACCAAACACCACTGAAGAGGGCATTAATTTTTGTTGACTTCCATGCTTTCCTATTATTTGGCGACATCTCAGTACATTAACAATTTTATGTCAGTTGTTGCTATTCAAACTGCACGTATAAATAGAAACAAACTTGGTCCTGTGGGGTTCTCAAAATTTCATCATCTGATTAGTTAAGAGTACAGAGCAATAAAATGCTCAACAGATTAGTTTTCAAACTGACTGTAAAAGTTGAGGCGATATCAGGAATCCTATCTATAATTTTTCCTCACACTTACAATTTGTCTCAATTTCAACAGGCCAAGTGGCAAGACAGTTTCACTGCTAGCGACTGCTATTCCACATTTATGGCTCTGAAAAGTAAATGTTTGAAAGCTAGTGGGAGCATTACAGTCAGGTTAATTCTCTTCTCACGATGAGTCCACGTGCGCCCACTAGTTGCAAGGTAGATACATAATGGTCAGGAACATACGGGCTGTGTTTGTTCGTCTCAGAATACCAAAATTGATTATAGCATTAGCGAGGTCATCCATGAGATCAACAAATTCAGCACAGATCTGTGATGAACAAATTCATAAAAGGCACAACACAGAAACAAGCCATTTGGTCGAAGCGGTTCATTCCCCCATGTACATTTCATGTAATAACTAATTCATATCATATTTATCCACCTTTTTTCTCTATCCCTTCAACTGCTCTTCCTTGGTTTGCCATACTTAGCATGGTATTTACACAGGTAGGGATAAGTAACAGGAGAAATGCCTTCTAACTGACCAAATTAAAATGCTGTTCAGTATTTCAGAGCTTGAAACACTATAATTTTCTATTATATAAAGCATTGATTAATAAAGTAGTCTCTCTAAATAATCAAGTTTTATTCTGGTGCTTTGCTGGAAGAAACAATTTGAATGTCCAAAGTTCATTTTGATTTTAAGAAACTTTTAGGAGTGATGTGAAAACAAAAAACATTCTAATTTACTTGATCGTTATGGATAGTATATGTTGTGAAAACAAAGGGAATAGTAAATTGTGAATATGATTTAGTGGCTATGATTAAATAAAACATACCATCCAACTGTCTGGAGCACAGGACATTTTGTACATATTCAGTTTTGGAGAAGATAAATATAAAAAAGATGAGACGTGAATAGAGTAAATCTAAACTTGAAAGCCGAAAGAACTGCGGATGCTGTAAATCAGGAACAAAAACAAAGTTGCTGGAAAAGCTCAGCAGGTCTGGCAGCACCTGTGAAGAGAAATCAGAGTTAACCTTTTGGGGTCACCGGACGCGAAACATCAACTCCAATTTTCTCTTCACAGGTGCTGCCAGACCTGCTGAGCTTTTCCAGCAACTTCTGTTTTTGTTCCTAAACTTGAAAGATCTCGCTGATTAATTGTGGGCACCAGTTATCCAGATCTTAATTGAAAAAATATGTGGATGTGTCAAGGACATGATAGCTTACTGGCAATGTCACTGGGCTAGTACTCTAGAACCCCAGCCGAATGTTCTGGGGACAAAAACAGAAGTTGCTGGAAAAGCTCAGCAGGTCTGACAGCATCTTTCTCAGAACTGAGGAAGGGTCACCGGACCCGAAATGTCAACTCTGATTATTTTCTTCACAGATACTGCCAGACCTGCTGAGCTTTTCCAGCAAATTCTGTTTTTGTTCCTGATTTACAGCATCTGCAGTTCTTTTGGTTTTTATTTAATGTTCTGGGGACATGGACTTGAATCCATCGTGGCAGAAGGTGAAATCTGAATGCAATAAAACAATATGGAATTTAAAACCACATCCAATGGTGATTATGTAACTACTGCTGATAGTCATTAAAGCCCATCTGGTTCACTAATGTTCTATAGGGAGGGAAATCTAACTTCCTTATCTAGCATAGCCTTTACGTGACTCCAGGTATGCAGCTATGTAGTTGAATCTTAAGACAAATTATAATGGTCTTACAATGCTGGCCTAGCTAGTGATGCTCTCATCCCAAGAATGAATAATTAAAATGCCCAATTTGATTTGAAATAGTGGTCATGCTTCCAATGCTATTTTTGCTCTCCACGTGAAATTTTCAAACTCATAAAAATAATTAATGACCTTAACTAGAGGCTGCTCTATTTATTGGCAATGATAAATTTAGAGTTTAGAGAAGGTATTGGAGTAGTGGTAATATCACTGCACTAGGAGTACTTGGTGTATTTTGTACAATTTTGGTCACCCTGTTATAGGAAATACATAGTCAAACTGGAAAGTGTGCTAAGAAGATTTATGAGGACGTTGCCAGGACAGGTAGGCCCCAGTTACAGGGAGAGGTTGGCCAGGATAGGACTTTATTCCTTGGAATGTAGGAGAATGAGGGGTGTCCTTACTAAGGTGTATAAAATCATGAGAGGCATAGATAGGATGAATGCATATAGTCTTTTTCTCAGGGAAGGGGAATTGAAAACTGGAGGGCATAGGTTTAAGGTGAGAGGGGAAAGATTTAAGAATGACCTGAGGGCCAATTTCTTCATGCAGGTCAGTAAATGGAATGGGCTGCCAGAGAAAGTGGTTGAGGCAGGTACAATAGCAACATTTAAAAAGCATATGGATAAGTACATGAATGGGAAGGGTTTAAGAGAGATATGGACCAAATGCAGGCAATTGTATTTAGCTGAGTGGGCACCATGGTCAGCATGGACCAGTTTGAGCTGAAGGGCCTGTTTCCATGCTGTATTACTCTGTGATTCTATGACTCTACTCTAGTAATCCAGACCCCCAAACTGTGAAAATGAATTTAAATTTCACCATAGCAGATGGCGAAATTTGAGTTCAATAAAAATATCTGTAATAAAAAGCTGTCCTAATGGAAACTATACAACCATTACTGATCATTGTAAAAGTCTGTCTGGTTCTGTCATGTCCTTTAGGGAAGCAAATCTGTCAATTTTACTTGGTTTGGCCTAAATGTAACTCCAGATCGACAGTAATGTGACTGACTCTTGACTGCGCTCTAGCCAATAAATGTTATAACTGATACCCACATCCCATGAAGGAATGAAAAAAATGTTAAAATTAGTATATGGATGTTTCAAGTAACTTCATTGAAAAAAAAAACTTGCTTTGAACTATTTCAGTTGGAAATGCGCTCAAGAAGCAATAGCTTGGAAAGCTCATCCAAAACTAAAAGGATGCATCAACAAGCAAGGTTACACCATCGAAATTCTGAAAGGGACGAGTCATACTTGGGAACAATTACAATGAACAATCGAAGAGAAAGACTCTTTATGGAGGAGACAGGGACTGTTTTGCGAAATCATAAAACCAGGACGTCATCTAAAAAACACGAAGATCTTTCTCGAGATGACCTATTGTTCCTGCTCAGTATACTTGAAGGTGAATTAGAGGTCAGTAATCTTTATATTCTTTCATATTTCCAAAGGTTTACTTTGATAATTGAAGTCCCAACCTCCAATAATTTGATTGTATAGTGCAAAAGAAAAGGCAAGATTAAGGTTAGATTGAATCATTGATTGAATGAGAATAATTTCACAGTAGGTTTGGAATAAAAGATAAACTATTTCAACTTCATTCTTGCATGTAACTGAACCCCAAAACATAACAATTTTCTGCAAGATCGCTTTTGTTTAAACAGCTTTATGATGATGTCAGTTGGAATGTTGAAAATCAAGTCTTACCTGGTGTTGCCTTAGGCTTTTGAGATGCTTCCTTGAGAAGGCTAGCTTCCATACTGATGGTCAATTCTGCAAAGTAGAACACATAATTTAGTTGATAGGTCACAGTGTTCCCAGGAAATGATTACAATATTGTATGGGCAGCAGTCTGAAAGGACATATGAAATTAAAATGCATCAAGTTTCACGTAAAACAGCTCAAAAACAACATTAATTGGAAGACTCTGACAAAAGCTATTTGCTATTATTGTTGTCAATAAATTTCAGATAATTATTTTGCATGGAAAGACATTTCTATAAGTTTCTGAAGGTGTATACTTTCACAAGTACGATATAAGAAAATATTAAGCGCAAGTTCTTTCTTAGGACTATTTCACAAAGTTTGAAGGGACCACTTGCACTGTGTCTTAAATTTTGAAGTTAAAATTTCCCATTAAGTTTAAGCTTTGAAGAAAACTTTTGGCAAAATTAGGCTTAAATTTTTGCCTTTTAATTCAACAACATTATCAATAGGTTGCATATCTCTCCCCTCAAAACTAAATTTATTATCTGCATCGGCAATCAGCAAGAAATGTCTACATCAGTATTGTTGAGGACACATCTACAAAATTCTGAACGTAAGATTTAAATGAGAAAGAGCCACTCAGATCACCACATCCATTACTTCCAAATTCTAAATTCCTAGCCCCTGCAAATTAAACAGATTTGGTATTATCTCTATTAACTCGAACTCTTTTCTTTAAAACAGTTGCAACTCTTATTAGAAGTAATGCTGCAGTTATACAAAATTGTATACCCGACTTGGGGTACTGTTAGCAGATCTGGGCACCACACCTTAGGAAGGATATGTACCACCTCGAACGGAATACAATGTAGGTTTACAATAGGTTTAAGGTGAGAGGTGAAAGATTCGAAAGGGATCTGAGGGGCAACTTTTTCACGCAGAGGGTGGTGTGTGTATGGAACGGGTTGTCAGAGGAATTGGTGGAGGCTGGTAAAATTACAACATTTAAAAGACATCTGGATGGGTACATGAATAGTAAAGTTTTAAAGGGATACAGGCCAAATGGTGGCAAGTGGGACTAAATCAGTTTCGGGTATCTGGTCAGCATGGACGAGTTGGACTAAAGGGTCTGTTTCCGTGTTGTAAATTTTATAACTATGACTATGACTAAGACTAAGTTATGAGGAGAGATTATATAATTAACTCTACTTTCTCCAGAATTTAGAAGGTTAAGGTGATTTGATCAGTCTTCAAGATAGTAAGACGAAAAGACAGGGTAGGTAAAGATAAACTATTTTGTTGGTTTGGGATTCCAGAATTCAGGGGCATTGTCTGAGAATTAGGGCCAGGCTATGCAGGAGAGATGTTAGGAAGCACTTCTACACACAAAGGATGGTAGATGTTTTGGAACTCTCTTCCACAAGGGCCATGGATGTTCAATCAGCTGTTAATTTTAAATGTGAGGTAGATCAATCTTTGTGAAGGAAAGGTATTAAGGGATATGGGCCAATGTTATATGGAGTTCGGCCACAGATCAGCCATGATCTCACTGAATGGTGGAACTGGTTTGAGGGGCTGAATGGCCTACTCCTGTTCCTATTTCCAATGTTCCTAAGTATTGAATGGAACACAATTAATTACTTTCTATTGCTTCTTGAGCATCAGTTGATTGTTTTAGTCTTTATTTAATGATGCTCTTAACCCATTTTCTGATTTCAAATTGCTGGAGTTCAAGTTTGTAAAAACTTACATTTTGTTCATTTTTTTTCTGAATTTCTATTATTGTCTACACATGAACACCTCAGTCAGTTGGACAAAACATGTTTCACGGAAATACTATTTCTTAATTCTGGTCAGTTTCCTATAAAGAACACAACTAAGTTTAAAACAGAAAATTCAAACATCACAGAGTTAATGAGAGAAACAAAAGAACACAGGGAATGCAAAACAAAAACAAAGAGATCAACTGAATAAACGCATCAGTTGAAATGGGACATATGTTGACTTTTATGTGTTAGACAAGCAGAAATTCTACCGGTAAACATGGTACAGTTAGACCATTTACTACGTCCAAATTTGTATCCATTTGTCCACTCCACAAAATGAGAAAGCACGATTCTGAAGTTATTCGAAATGTTGAAAAACGATAACTTTCACCTTATCTGGCATAGTAAAAGTTTAATTTTACATTTTAATGGAAGATAATTTATTTTCACACCGGCATGCTTATCCCTAATATATGTGAACTCATGAAATCTTTTCTACGTACTCTATTCTCTATAAATCAAGAGCATGCCAATGCTTCATGTTGTGTGGATTTGTTTTAGGCCCGTGATGAAGTAATAACTGTACTAAAAGCGGATAAAATTGACTTGGCACTTCTGGAAGCACAGTATGGCTTTGTTATGCCAAAAAACGTGCTACAAGCTCTCCAACGGGACACAATCCAAGGAAAAGCAGACTCACCGCAGGAGGACATCTATGAAAAACCAATGGTCGAGGTATGTGGTATACTCAATGTAAGCTCTAACATTTTTCAAATGATCTCAAATTAGATGCAAAATTAGATGAAAAAAGGCCAGTATTTCTACTGGTAGACAATTTAACGCGAAACTTTGTAATCACATTCGCTCCCCTAAACAAGTAAGCAAAGTACTTGAATATTAACCAGGCATGATAGGTTTCATGTCCTCAACTATTACTATTTTATTGGCAATTCTTAAGTACCTACGAATACAGTACGAAATCAAAGTGGAGTACTCTATCTACAGGGACATTAGAAATAACTGACCCAACCTGATAAATGGCATTACTGCCAAACATGCAGCAGAATTAAAACCTATCCTAAACTAGAGGTCTGATGTCACCCATGCTATGCTTGTGGTAAATGTAGCAAATAACATTGCTGGAGATAAATTAAGCTTTATCCAATAGTCACTGGGGCCCTCTATAGTGTAAGTATTTCTCATAGACTCGTAGAAGTTTACAGCACAGAAAAATACCCTCAGGCCCATCGAGTCGTGCTGGTCAAAAACAAGAACCTAACTATTCAATCCCACTTTCCACTGCTTGGCCCATTGTCTAGTGTGCCTTGACATTGTAAGCGCTAGTTGTCACAAGAGCAAGCGCAAATATCATAATGAAATCGGCTTGGGTGAAAGTGGAGTAGACCAATGTGGTATGATTCCTATACACTGCACAGTTTGGTAAACTTTAGTAACTTCCAGAAAACATTCATGTCCCACATTGGAAGGCCTAACCTTCATGGATCATTCCTAATTTAGACACCGTACATTTTGTCAATAAATCATGTTTTCCAGATCTGGAAAGGTGGAAAATTTTGGAACAGAATCTTTTTAAAAAGAGGTGGTATTTTTAATTTGATTAGATTTGAAATTTAAGTACTTGTTCTAATATTGTCTCAATATTAAATTTCATTTTAAGTACAGTTTAAAGTACTGCATATATTTAATTGTGTTCCCCACTAATTTCAAGATCATGTTTCTATTTAAGGAGATGTTATTAAATGTTTTTCCTAGGCTTAAGATTCAGCTGTCAATCGTCCATATACTGTTGTAATCAACAATATTAACAGCTTCTGGGAATATATTTCATCAAGTCAAGATAACTTACACCAAGAATAATTGCTAATTGATTTTTCAGTTTTGAATACCAGGAAACATGACTACACCTTGATGGAATGCAGTAAGAATCCACCCTACGGGCGACTTGACTGCACATAATAAAAGCAAACAGTAAAAATGCAGTACTCAGAGGGGACTTGATAGATTGGGGCATTTCTATAACCACAAGGGCTATTTCGGAATGGTATAGTAAAGGATATCACATAGGGGTGCAGCATAGTCTGAAATGAGAAAGGGAAAAACCAGAAGTCATGATGCATATGATGCACGTAGCACTGAAATCCTTCAGCCAGAATTTCAAAAGCTAGGAAAAAGCATGACCACAAAAGGTAGCAATCTCAGAACCACTCTCAGTGTCTCATGCTGGTGAATATAGAAGCAGAAACGTGAGGTTCAGGCAAATGTTTAGCTGGAGGATTGTACAGAAGGGAAGGTTTCAGATTCTTGGGGAACTGGGAATCATTATGGGGTAAGGGATACCTTTGCAAGAGGGAAGAGTTACATCTGAAGATAGCCAGGACAAATGTTCTTGCTGAGTTGTAAACTAGCACGTTGGTGAGTGGGTGGGAGAGTTAAACTAATTTATCTGGGGAACCAGAAAATAGTAAGCTATAGAGATATATATTAATAGCAGTTAAATCGGAAATATCCCAAAAAATTACAGGGCCTAAATTGAGAAAAAGAAGTCATGAAAGAGGCATTAAATTGTATAAACATCAATGTCTAAAATGTAACCAACAAAGGTTGGTGAGTTGCAGACACTTTCTAAGTGGGCCTATGATATTTTGCACTAACGGAGATGGCCTGGGATGGGTTCTTAATATTCATGTTTACCAAGTGTTCAGCAATGATACAAAATGAAAAAGTAGGTCATGGCAATATTGATTAACAATTGTGCTAAAGTTCCAAATGCTACACTTACGAACTGATTCTGGGATTGAATCTATTTTTTATGTTTGATCATGGGATGTGTCTATGGCTGACAAGACAGCATTTATTGCCCATCTCTAACACCCCTGTGGTGACAGAACTGTGCATAAAATTCCAGTTTAGACCTAAGCAGAAGTTTCTATAGGTTCAGTATAATGCCCCTGCTTTTTTACCCAATGCTTCAGTTTGCAAAGTCCAGAATCTCATATGCTTTGCTAACTAATCTTTCAATGTACTGTATCCTGCCACCTTCAAAGACCTTTGCACATGAACCCCCAGCTCTTCTATCCTTGCACCCTCTTTCGACGTGTATCAATAACTATATATTGCTTCTACCGTTCTCCATCCATTTGGCCAAAATGCTTCTCTGTTTTAAGTTCCGTCTGCCCATTCTATTAGGCCATCCGTGACCTTCCCGTTGCAGTCAATGGCATTGTCTTCACTGGCGTTTCCCTTCAGCTTTAAAATAAACAAGTTCCACAACTTTCTAAC